TGTATGTGTAAATGTAAGCTAGCTTTAACTTTACTGATGTGTATGTAACTTGGATCCAACTGTGCATATATGTGTAAGTAATTATTGTTTGGAAAAACATGTCTTAAACAGCAACCATGTGGCTTTCCTCCATGTTGTCTGGTGACCTCATAGGCAGCCACGTGCCTGGCAGCCATCTTTTACTAAAGGTTATAAAGCTCTATTCAAGTTAACAAAAAGATAACTTAGAGACTTACACCTGAGTACTTATGTTTTTGCTAAGTCTTCAACAGTAAGCTTCCAGAGAATTTAAATAGATGGCTACATATGTTTAATAAATAAGGTATTTAATAAGTATTAAAACTGTACCTCAATGCTTTTATACACAAGAATATACCTTGTTCTGGCAGCTAAACTGTGTAATTTAAGATTTACTCATATAATCAGCTGATAATGGTTTTCAAGACATGAAGGGATCATAGGGAAGAGCTGGGGTTTACAAATGTATGGCAGGGCTAGAGTTCCAAAGAGTCCAGTTTGAAAAATGCCAGTGCTGATCCCTGTGTGTTGGGCGCCCCGCGGGCGTGCACTTTGCCACCTGGAGTGGAGCAGGGCAGAGCTGGCGGGAAGGGACTGGGTGCTAGGCTCGGCGCCACACCCCTAGGAGCTCCCACCCCAGGCAGACCGCCTGGTTCTTCCTGAGAATCTCAGCAGAAACTTTCCCTGCTGTCCCCCGAGCCACCGCGAGTTGCTTAGCTGACCTCCGGCCCGAAGGGCGGCTCTCCTTGGCCCTGGAGACGCCCTTCGGGAAGCCTGCAGCCCTGCCCTCGGGGACCTCGGTCCAGCATGGACCAGGCGGAGGATCCCTACAGTACAGCCTGGCTTTCCTGGGCCGTCTGTGCTTCCTGGAGTTCCATGGAAAATGGAAGGCCTCCAGATCCTGCAGACTGGGCTGTGATGGACGCCTTCAATTATTTCCAAACAGCAGGATTTGAGGAGCAAGCCAATGCTTTTCAGGAACAGGAAATTGATGGAAAATCCCCGCTCTTGATGACGAGAAATGACGTGCTGACAGGGCTGCAGTTGAAACTGGGGCCTGCTCTGAAAATCTATGAGTATCATGTAAAACCTCTTCAGACCAAGCATTTAAAGAACAGCTCTTCCTAGTAAAGTGAAATCGAGGTCTCAGTCCTCAGAACAGGATTCACAGTGATGTAATTTAGTTTCGTGTTGTAAGACTTCACAAACAGAATACAGACATGTGTATAC